TCCAGGCTTCAGGGGCGGGTCTGACGCTCCCTTTTTCCTCCATCTAAAGAAAATGTGTGGGGGGTGTCATTGTTGGGGGGTGTATGTGTCTGTCCCCTGCACATAAAGTGGCATCAACTTTACAAGGAGAACCTGAGAGCCGTTTGTTACAGCTGTAACAAGAGACCTAATGCTGTCAGCTCCCTGAGTTTCTAATAGCACCAGGAATTAATTAATTAAGATGAAAAAAACAGTGTATTCACCAGGTTTCCATATTTAAAAAAAAATATTTGTGAGTTCTCCAATACCGCCTTGCCTACTTCAGGAATTTAAATGAGTTAAAAGAATCTAATTGTTCCTAGATATGTTTATTTCAAATTACAGCACCCACAGCATATTGCATTTATAATTTGAGGGCTCAATTTGGTCTTTCTCTGACTGTGTTTCTTTGCTAAGGTGCACATCTTCGATACTAGTTGAGACCATGGGATCGGCATTGGCAAGAGCAGCTCAGTGGACTGCTGCTGGTTCTGGAACTGGCACACTCGAAATCACCCCTTTGAACGAATCTCTTTTAAATCAGATCATTAAATTTGTGGAGGACTTCAGCACTAGACATCCTCAGGAAGCGGCATTTGTCTTCAGAGTGCCCCTTGAGTGGAAAACGCAGTTGAGCTGCTCAGAATTTGGGGAGGGTTATGAGATCAAGTAAGTCTGAATTGTAGTGTGTTTTGAAACGTTGAAGGTGAGCTACAAAGCAGACCTGTGTTAATTTAGCATAAAGAAAGCCTTAGTGTATGTGGGAGGATGAAATGGGTGGGTGTTCTACTGGTATATATTGAAAATTTTGATTTAAAATTTGTAGGGTTTTTTTGACAGTTTGAGATTCTTCTATCTCAGTGGTGATACAGACCTGTTTAGTTAGTGATTTATACAACTCGCACTGTCTATTCCTAAGATTTTTTTACAAGATGCATCTAACTATGTTATTTCTGTTAGTGTTAGGAATGGGTCCTGTGCGATGTGTTGACCCTGACTGGATGCCAGGTGCCCACCAAGCTGCTGTATCACATCCCCCCCTCAACTGGACAGGGGGAGAAAAAGACAACAAAAGGCTCATGGGTTGAGATAAGGACAAGGAGATCATTCACCTATTGCCATCATGGGCAAAGCAGGCTTGACTCATGGAAATCAAGTTAATTTATTTCCAATCAAAAGTCAGAGTAGAATATGAGAAATAAAAACAAATCTTAAACCACCTTCCTCCCACCCCTCCCTTCTTCCCAAGCTCAACTTCATTCATGATTTTCTCTACCTCCTCCCCATCAAGGGGCACAGGGGGACAGGGAATGGGGGTTGTGGTCAGTTCATTATGCATTGTCTCTGTTGCTTGTTCCTCGTCACTCTTCCCCTGCTCCAGCATGCGGTCGAACCTACAGGAGACAGTTCTCCACAAACTTCTTCAATATGAGACCTTCCCATAGGCTGCAGCTCTTCACGATCTGCCCCAGGGTTGGTCCTTTCCATGGGGTGCAGTCCTCAGGAACAGACTGCTCCAGCATGTTCCCCTGCAGGGCCACAAGTCCTGCCAGGAGCTTACTCCAGCATGGGCTTCCTGCAGGGTGACAGTCTCCTTCAGGCACATCCACCTGCTGATTTGCAGTGAATAAATTAGTATACCTTGGAAGTTTTCTGAAATACAGTTTAAAGAAATTGTACATGCTTTATCATTTGAAGCTTGAATAACATTCAAGATTATTCTTTAAAATTTGCTGTTTAATAAAGTTCTTATTTTAAAAAGATATAATTTCATTTTTCTAGTGGATCAACTGTTCAGTCTGAAGCCAAAGGTGAAGATGGCCAACCATTGCTTCTTCTCATGGCATCAACTTTCAGTGTTCGCAGTTTTGACCAGCTGTCCCGTTTGCTACAAATTGCTATGGATAAAAAGTTAAAGGAAGCACAGGCATGCCTTGAAGGTTTCCTTTCTTCTTTTTTTTCATCTTTCCTCTCTCTTACAAAGTATGTCTTCTCCTTCAGTTTGTGTTTATGAAATGTGAAGAAAGAAAAGGCATGCCTTCATTTTAAGTATATGAGAAGGTGTTGATTTGTGAAGGTGGCTAGAGGTGCTGATCCAGAACTTAATGACGTTTCTATTTCTTTTTTTTTTTTTCTTCACAGAAATCAATAACAGAGAAATCTGGAATAAAATTAGTATAAAACTGTTGAAGCTTATATACAAATTCATGTGTACTGAGTAATACCCCAGCTATTGCAACAGACAGTACGTTTAAATTTCTGAAAAAGAATGTCTTATTGGAAGCTAACAGCAGTTTTTCCTATGCTTGTAGCTTAATCCTCTTTTAAAATGTTACATCCTTAAAAAGTACCCAAAGAAAAACTTATGTGCTTAAGACATTCTTACCCACACAAGGCTTACAGTGAGCACTTTCAGGTCCTTCTCACAATGGCTTTTAACATATAGGTATGAGTACTTTTATTCTGTCATATTCAAGTCCTAGATTTTCAAATTGACAAGCCCCTTGATATGCTAAACTGGATATCGTCCTCTCACTGGAGGTAGAAGAGATCAGTAATATTCTTTGGTAATAGTAGTAGAAATTGCCTCTGCAATACTAAAATATAATTGCTCATACTTGAGCATTTATATCCAGCATACTGGATCTGCTCAAACTTCAGATCCATCTAATTCAGGTTCCTGTCACTGACAGTGATCAGCCATAAATAATAGGAAAGAATAATATGGACAAGGTGTCATGCAGAGGTGTTCACAGATGCATGGGGCTTCATTTACTTCAACAAAGCAAAATGTTTTTGTAAAACCCATTGACATGCAGTTATGTCGCTGTTTACCAAAAAGAACAGGTGGCATAGCTGAGGAAGTAATGGGGCCATTGGGAATGCTGATATAAAACTTTAAAGATGTTCCTTAACACTAAATTCTGTTTCCAAAATCATAAATTTTCAGTGAGTTAAATCCATTGATTTCCTGTGTTGGTGATCAGCCAGGCATACTTTCTGGAAAGGAGGCTGTTGATAAAGGGAAGTATTTAAATATTCACCTCTTGGTTGAATGAATCTTAAGCTTTGTTGTGAAAAGCAATTTTGTTTGTTATGAAAATTTTGTTTTGTTCTTAATGTTTTCATGTTTTTAAAAGTGCATTTCAAATTACAAGAGCAATATGAAAAAATATATCATACAGTAATATTTGATGAATAACTATGCACATTATTAAAGTCCTTATTGTAAATTAATACCATTAAAATTATTCAGCAGTTAAGTGTTTGTCTTGCCTAATCTTTTTTAACATAGTATCACATTATATGATTCTGTTTCATGTTTACAGCTAACAGAGATCCTATAGTGAAAATTCTTGGCCCTGAATATGGGACTATTGAAGGAGAAGATATGTCCATGTTGCATTTACTTGACAAAGTGAAAAAAGATGATGACCCTGAAACAGAGATGAAAATGAAAATCAATCTTCTTCTTCATCAGCTGGATTTGCAACTGCTTAATAGTTCTTTGAAACACATTTCACAGTAAGTGCATTTCAAATGGAAGCTAAGCATGTCAGCCAGTGCATTTTTTTGTTTTATTGTTAGATTGGTTTTAACCCACAACAAGTGCTTTTGGTGTGACATAAAGAAATTTATTGAAATAATTTTCACTGTTCACTAAGTTATTGAAAAAACATTTTTTTTCTGAAGATTTTGCTGTAGGTGTGGGTATGCAAGTGTGTGCCCACGAGTGTGGTTTTTTTATTGCATGTGTTTTGCGTTATGGTAGCAAATTGAAGTCATTTGTACAAACAACAAAGTTACAGTTAAATATTTTCAAATAAATGTTTATTTCTTGATGGAAACATATTAAGTATTACATTGAGTCTGTTTCATAGTTACAAGGGTTTCATATTAGCTACGGAACTAAAATTTCACTAACTTAACAGATAAAATTAAGAAAAACAAAAGATGACCCATTTCCAGATTTTTGTTGCTACTTTTATGACTCAATGTAAAAACAAACTTATGTAATACTCTCTTTTAATTTCTCTGAGTACATCCTTTTGGTGAATACATTTTAGACCATTTTCTGTTAATTGCAGAGACATAAGACTAAATCCAGCTGCTATAAATAACGAAGTGAATCTTCTCAAGAATTTCTCTGGGAAAGGAGAAGATACAGTACTGGAATCACTGGAATATACATCAGGTCCAGAACTGATCATATCTTATGTTCATATACACCCTTATTAAAGTACTTGACTTCTGCCTGAAATTTGCTAAATTAATTTCAGTAATGAATTTAAAGTGTTTTTTTCTACTTTAAAGTTATAAAGTAAAATAAAACATATTTTCACATATGGAATGCTGTTCTTCAGTCTTTAGTTATAGAAATAATCTCCAATCATATGAATTTCTTCAGTGGAAGTAGAGGGAGTAAACAGAGTCCCTGATCCTGAAAAGTACTAAGCACAGTTGCAGTTCTTAGTTGGATTGGGCCATGGGTCACAGAGCTTTGCATGATTAATTCCTAACCGAGTATGAATTCTTAAGAGTAAGGTATTGTTTTGGGAATTTTATTTGTATATATGTTATATTAATCATGAAGCATAACTATTACAAAATACTTTAAAACTGGATGAAAACACTGATGCTAATTGGTTACAGATTACACGTTCTCTAATGGCTGCCGAGCTCCTCCCTGGAGACAAGTACATGGAGAAATTTGTTATTTAGTCATCAAACCACATGACACTGATCCTTTGTATGTCACTTGCAGCACAGCAGGAGTGTTTTTAAATGGAGTAAGTAATAATAAAGGATTCCATGGAGTAATGAATATTTTTATGTGCTAAAATAAAAAATTCATCAGGTTTAGGGTAGTGGTGTTGAGGCTGTAAGACCTGCAGAGTTAGTTTATTGATACAGAAGGAGAAGACACAGTAATGAAAGTATGCTAGTTTTCCCATATGTTTTGAGTGCTTTTTCTGTGAGTTTTATACTAGGAGCATGTTTTGCACTTTTTGCTAGCAGTGTTTGTTTAGTCTTCAAATATGCAATAACAGTCCTTCACCCTATTCCTATTTAAAGGTACTCTCTAGTGCCTCATTGCTCTGGATCTGAGGTGTAATATTATTGTATGGCTAATATAGCTTGCTTTTGTCTTTTTATAAATGATAAGCAGTTCTTTCTCCTTTCAGTGGAAGCTTTTTAGAAATTATTTATCTATTTTCTTCCACTTTTCGTTTTGGTTACCTCTTTCCTTACAGATAGGTTTTATTTAGGCATAATAGTCCCTTACGTGTGTTAAGCAGTGACCAGAGCCCTTACATTCATTTTGAAGAGAAACTGATGCCTGTCAGGCATAACTCCACAAATTGATTTCCTAGGAGTTAATAAATCCAAGGAAATTTTGACTTAGCATATTTTTAATGGATGAAGCTCATAAAGCTTAGGCTAGTCAGGTCACATTATCTTCTGATTCTTTTAGACACTGACCATAGTGCACTGGAAGCTTATATTTACTTGATTGTTTGCCATAAGCCATAAATTCTTTTTAGTGGAACTACACACAGTACAATTAACTGGTAGTAATTACTTGCAGAATTCTATGTAAGATCTTGGTTATCTGTTGGGATCCATGGATCTTTACAAAGCATTACTGAAGTCTGATGGACTCTGCTGAGCATGAGACTTCTGTACCTAATTCATTACAGTATGACCCCTGTGCTTTTTAGCACTATTTTATGACGCAGATTAAATTACCTGTGTGAGGCAATACTATTAATAGTTTTAAATTTATTCTTTTTTTAAGGGTCAGCTAAAGGGTAAAGATGACATTGACTACGAAAGAAAAAGTGATGTATGTAAGGATATTGTCACATTTTTACGGGAGAGATCACCTAGATTTGTAGAAAATATGGCTAAACAGGTATGTGTTTACTGATACTGATACACTGATATATTTACTGATTTATATTCTACTTTGTACAGACATACATTGTACATTGGTAAGAATTCCTTTATAAACCTGGTTGAATGTTTATGTTCTTTATCAAAGATAAATCTGTGACTAAATGAAGAATTTTAAACACTCTCAAATGCATTTATTGTTTTTCTTTGGATTTATTTCAGTTTCTACTAAGTATGTTCCTTTCGTAAATAGCAAATAATAGACTACTTCACGTATTCTTCTGTCATACCTTATTATGAGGTTTGATCCAACATGTGAGGTCAGCTTCTAATTTTCCATAAAAAGTTTTGCTTCTCTTGTGGTGTTATTCTTTATGGAGCACTGGAAACTTTAAGCAGGAAAATATGATATCCTTATGGAAAAGGGCAACTTTTTATGACTATTTTTCTGAGATCAAAACCACTTAAATTTTTATCTTCATTCTTTGTAACCCAAATATAAATAATAGCCCATTTTTTAAATGAGAACTGCCTGATATGAATATCAGAGCTGAGAGTTAAGCATCCAATTTACATACTATGTGTTGCTTCATCCACTGTAAAATGCGAGTGTTTGGGTTTTTATTTAGAGCTCTATACTAGCTAGAATCACACAGTGCCACTACAGTTTTAGTTGTTTCATCATTCCTGATAAAAACTTTTTTTTTCAGATTTCTAGCGTGGTTATAACAGATTAATAACTTGGTGGTAAAATTCATTACAGGCTAAAACCTGTTAAAAGTTTTATTGTGGTTATTTATGTGTGATTTTAATTGTTGCAAGAACGAAGTCATTGACAGGGATATTTTCATATCCTTTAGTTCTGATTTTCTGAGATGTAGTAGATGTACCTTTTTTGAGATACAGATATTTGACAGTTCTGAAAGAACAGAGCATTTCAAGTTGTACACATAGATACAGTAGCTTATATTAACAGCAGTGGAATTAAATTTGGAAGTTGTTCTGTTTGAAAGTGCAGTAAGTTCCAAAATGTGCTTTATTTATCCCATAGGCAAGTATTTTTTTAATGTTATATCTACATATTGGATTATGTTTCATAAATGTGACACTATTGTCACATTTGTTTTTAGACATACTTACTGGTTTTATGTATTTTCAAAGTGATTTGGCTTCATTTGATGTCCACAAAAGGTAAAATATGGTAATATTTTAATATTTTTGTACAATTCTAATCCTAAATGTTAATATAGATTAATGTTAATATCAATAATTGAGATAACATACCTTTCTTTACCTTTTTTTCCTCTTATAAAGATACTGTGGCTATTCAAGAAATGTGTATACTTATTAAATAAGAATAAATAAATAGAATTTGTCCTATTTTCCTCCAATTGTCATGTAAGTCACTTAGTATTCCCTGACTGTGTAAATAAGTTTATGCTGAAGAGTGTAAATTATACCATTTTAATGGTTTAGGAATGTCATGTCATGTTGCCTTGTTGAAGAGCTGGTTTAGTACATTCTGCATTCTAAAACTAGAATTTAAACAAGTTAATGCTGTAGAGCTGCAGAACATTTGTATTTGAGGGAAAATCTTTTCTACTCTAGAACTCTGAAAAGCAGAGAAAAGTTGTGTTTCCAAGGTTGCCTACATGAAATAACTTATGACTGGAAATAGTTTTGATTTATTTTCTGAGGAGAGGAGAGCTTCAAAAAGCTCATTACGTACACATATATTGCAAACCCAATTAACTTTTCTAATATCTTCTTGGCCTTGTTTAAGCTACCATATAGAATTGCTGTGTTGGCATTTAGAGCTGTAGGAAACACTTTTTAACATGTGCTTAGCTGGTCACGCTAGGACATCAATTCCTCTGTGATTTGTCTAGTTTATCATGTGTTAAATTGTCTTTATTTAGTGTACATTTTCAGAACGAGAGAATTATCATGAGTTAGTTTATGATTATGCAGTTGGGTCAGCAACCCTGGACCAGCCAATTCATGTCAGGGACTAGTGGAAAACAGACCATATTGTGGCAGTCTCCTTAAAACTGCCTTGAATCAGATACATAAAGGAATGTTTTCACCTATCTGGTAGTGACAGCTGCAATAATAATAATAATAATTAGTGATTGTATGCTGTCTTTCCTGTAAAAATTGAATATGTTCCAATAAAGAATAAGAGTTGACAAGAGTCCTTTCTGTTCTGGATATTTTTGATCAGCCATGGTACTAGACACAGACAGCTGAAGGATTGGTAGGTGCCACTCATCTCCATTCATGTATGGATCAACATATGGATCAACTGCTCAACAGTGTTTTGTCCTGAGAGACAGATGAAAAAACTGAAATGGAATGTGTTTATATTAATTCTAAACTATATCAAATTAAATTACTCGGAATTGAAGTCTAGCAGTTTATCATGGCCTATTTTCAGTTTTATGACTATTATTTTTTGTGGGAATTTTTTGTAAATCCTTTTTTAACAAGCAAATGGTTTTTATATAAATGATCCATTAAAAGCAGAATGACTGACTTTGCAATTCTAGATCTTAAAACTCATTTAGAATTAGATTCTATAAAAATGCTTGTGTCACAAATTATTTAACATATTAGAAACTGAACAACACCCAACATTCAAGTATGTTCAGGAAGTTCCAAATTTAGTTAGTTCATTTATTTCAAAAACTTTAATTCGCACATGGAAACAGCTACTTTTCAGATTAGTGTTTCATTCTTTGAAAGGCAATCTGATTTTATCCTTATAACCTAATTCTACATTTAATACATACAATTTTTAAGCACAGCATCCTGGAATTGTGCTTATAACTTATTGTTTTAATACGCATTATTCATATAGCAATATGACTGACAAACCAAGTCTCCTTCTTTTATTAGGAATATAAGTTTTTTAAAGAACCAACATATGAGAAGAATTATCAGCGTATGGAAGTAGTTGATGCTAAGGTCTCTGGCCAATCCCAGAACCTTCATGATTTTACAGAAAAGAATGTATATGAGAAAGTGAAAAGTTCTGCAGTAAGAAGGAGATCCATTGACAAGAAGAAATTAGAACCATCTATGAAGTGGAAGCTTTCTGCTTCCCACAGATAAGTAGTTATGTTTATAATTGAATTTTCCTATAGATCTCTCTAAACTGTGCTAATGATTGGACAGCATGTTATAGGTTTGCATTATTATCTTAAGTTAGGAGCAATAAACCAAAATTTTATACATGCTAATTTCTAAGAAGACACTACAAACTAACAAAGAGATTTCTGTTTTCTTCTGTCATGCAACAACTTTGATGATGTTATGTCATTTCCACAGCAAGGCAGAGAAATATCTTGCAACCATCTGCAGTACTGTGATATTATCATATTTTGGTGCAAAATGCCCTTTAAAGCAAGACAAAGTAGACAGTGTAGTCTAAACCACACTTTTTGAGGGAGGCAAAAGAGATCCAGGATGGAAAATCAGGGCGACTCTTACTTATACTACCAATTTTTAATTTCATATTATATGAGCCACTTTTCTAGCTCTGCTTAGCAACAGTGTTCACTAATGAGACTATCTCAAAGTTTGGACACCCAAAAATAGAGTATACACATATTGGATATTGTTGGCTTTGTTTCCTGATTTTGTGTTAATGAAGAAAAATATCTGAAGGAAAGGCTTTGAAGGCCATGCTACAAAAAAAAGTTGGTATCTTCTCAAGTCTGCCAATTTGACATGTTGCAAGAAACATTTTAAGAGATTTTGGATGTGACCTATAGTCATCAGTTAAAAAAATGTCGTTTTCCAGAGACAAGAGCTTATTTTTTTCCATAGTCATTGTTACAGTCTAGATGCAGTGAAATTGGGTGTAGTCATGGTAGTAATCTCTTTTATTGTTGTGACTGTGATAGTATGACCAGCCCAGGCCTGAAAGGACATTTTGTTTTCACAACATTGTAAATTAGGGACAAAAAAGCACCAGAGATTGTGCCCATCGAGGCCTAGGAGTCTTCTTGGAATATGAGAAAAGCAAGATAGATTATATTCAGCATGATCAAAGCTATGGAACAGCTCAGTGTGCGGAAGAACTAGGCAGAGTAGAACTCTTCTGCCTGGAAAAAAGATAACTGTGGAACAATATGAAAAATACAAAAAATCATGACTGGAGATGGTAAATAAGGAACAGATAGTCACTGTCTGTTCTAATACAAGAATAAAGGACAAAATGAAAATGTGCAAGACCAGTTCAAAACAAAGGGAGAGACTTCTTCATACAACACATAGCTAAGCTCTAAAATTTTTTGCCACGGGATGGTAGAGGCCATTTGTTTATGTGAGTTCAAAAAGCAACCAGACACATTCATGGAAGAAAAATCCATCCAAAACTGTTAGTGCAAGGATGATCCGGAGTTCCTTGAATTACAATTTGCAGAAGAACATTCTGGAAAAAATAATTTCCATGTTCTTCTACTACATTTTTCTTCTACTGCTACATAGATAGATGCTCTTGGTCATGGTTGGAGATGGTATCCTAGGATAAATGGACCTGTGGTCTGTCTGCATATACTTATTCTTTGTTCTTGTATCACAGGTCAGCATAATATATTTTTTCTAATATTCCACTGTTGTATTAAAGCAAAATTAGTCATTTAAGAAACAGCATACTTTCTGTTTAATTAAGTTTATTGTGTAGGCTCATAAGCTCATAGGTACTGACATGTGTCCAACTATAGCTTTTTGGTTCTATGTATGTATATAATAATTTTTTTAAATTAAAAAACAAGTATTTTAGTGACAAGGCTGCAAAAAAGGATGCTGAAGAAGAAGAAGGGAGAAGTAGTACTGTGTCTCTGAAAATCAAAAAGAAAGCCAGTGGCATTTCTTCTGAATCTGTTAAAATACAACCAGCATCAAAATGGTATGGGTTACTTACTTTTCTTCTTTCCAATTTTTTAATTTTAATTTTCCATATCTACAGTAATTATCACCATACTTAGTGCTTGACAATGTCAATTACATTTTTCTAATTCTGTTATTAGGCAGTGTTGTCATACCTGTTTAAAATGTGCTTGTTTTGTTTGTTCATATTAGTTTATAGCTGTTTAAAATGGATGATTCTGTTTGTTTATTTTTAGTAAAACATCAGGCAGGTTTGAAGATGTTAGTGAAAGTTCCTCAGAGGGTGAGGAAGATGAAGAACAGCCTGTATGTCATCAGGAGGGAAACACTGATTTGCCATCAGAATACTGGGGAATTCAGAAACTTGCAAAATATTTAAAGGTAAATAAGCATTGATAAATTTTATTTAAGAAAAAGCTGCTCTTTACATTCTACATCTGAGGACACCAGATCAGCTCTTCATCCTTTCTACCTTCCATATATTTTAGAATAACCTTGCTGTGTAGTATGTTAAAATCCTGCAAATGTGGACTTTCCTATCACACACCCTTTTCTCCGGCTTTTTTTTTATCTGCTATTTTTGGCTTATATAGACCCTTAGATTAAACCATCTGTTCAGTGTTATTTAAAACTTAAGATGGTATAATTGCTTTATTAATTATTGGGATTCTGTTTTGCTTTTTGGGTGAAACTTTCCAAGTTATTTCTTTATGTGGATAGTAACTTTCAAGAGTTTTTATTAAAACTGAATTCTTGCCTAAAGTCTTTCATCAGCTATGATTAATGCATGAGTGAAGTAATTCTAACGTGGTCTTGTGTCTGGATAGATGCTGTTAGTGGACAAAAAAATATAGTAAACAGGCATCCTCTAAAACAACAAAAAAAGTTTTTTTACACAGACTTGTTGAAAATCTTTTGGAACCTATGAATATAGATGTTTAGAATTCTGTATGTCTGAAACATGTAAAAAACCCAACAACCCTCTACTATTCTGGAAAACTCTAAAACTAATGATGTTTTTCCCTCAGGAGAAATTCCTTTACAAGTTTGTACTGGAACTTATGTACTTCAAGTTACTAATAAAAGTGCTAGTTTATTTGGGTTTTTGAGTACAGCTACAGAGTATACACATCCGACTGATAAAATAATGGTGCTGGCATTTGGTACAGCAGAAATACTTGTGAGGAATAAACAAAGCTTTGGCTCCTTTCAGTCCTTTAACCATTGTAGAAGAGTATCTTCTTAGTTTTTTGAAGAGTTTTCAGTGCACGCACACTGCTTGTTCTCCGTTCGTATATGTGGGACCTGTGCTAGTGGTTGTAGCCAAAGACACACAGAAAGCATGGATAATACAAGTCTCTCTACAATTCTCTTTGCCTTATATTTTCTAGGTTGGACCTCTATATTCTTGTCATTTTGGCTATGCTAAAATAACCTTTTGTAATCTGGTGTAACATTCAGCTTGTAACTTGCTCAGCTATCTGCTAATGCTAAACACACACTATATATACATTTTGCCTGATACAGTTGTTTCTATTTGCATATAATTACAGTTCAAGGTGTTGTTTTCAAATCTTTCAACCTACTAATAACTTGCTTTTGTATGTCTTATGGACCACCTCTTTGTACTTTTCTGAGAGCTTAGAGAAATAACCATGATACTTTTTAGTAAAGACCCAAGGTCCTCCTGGAGAGGATAGTTTAAATTCATTACTGTTGACGAACTGCCATAAATCTTTTCATTGGCCCATCTATGGGCCACCCTCTTTACTGACAAGGCTCTTCTGTCTTGGTTACATAATTCTCAATCTCCCTTTCCTTTTTAGATCCTTCATATAGTCATGTTTAGATTTTAGTATTGGACTTGATTGAATACTGAAACATATCTACACTTGCATGAAACCATTCTGAATGAAGAGTGAGCATGGCAAATAGGAAAACATATTTTTCATGCTCCTCTGTTTCAGAAATGAGTGTATTTTGTTCCAGCTGTCAACAAGCAAATTTTCTTAATGGCTTAGAACTAGAAAAAGAAAGGAGAGCGTTTGTGATAAAATTGTGAGTACCCATTAAGCAGTGTTTATAATACATCATATGAAGAAGTTCTGTTATGAAAACTCAAATGTATACTTGTTTGTGTATTCATGTACACCCTAGTCTTTGAATAGTTCTTTACATTAGATATAAATTAAATAAAGTACTTGAAGATGTACTTGAAATAATTCTCTGTTGATTCTTAGCTACGTAAAGTAAGAAATCCCTAGCGTCAGATAAAGCTGAAAAGAGATGCCTCAGTGCCATACCACAGACAGTGGTTGAAATTTTTATTGATGGAGTGCTACTTTAGCTTGCACATGGAATTCATTTTAATTCAAGTATAAATACTGCACTTCTGGCCAGACTTAGGAGATTTTTTGGCATTATTGTTGTTCATGTAGGCAAATGTTCATGACACATGCAACATAAGAGAAAATAAACTTATGACTGCAATAGTTAAGTATCTACAAGCTTATTTATATAGAAACACAAATTTCAGGGAGCTTGTGTGTCTTCAAAGGTTGTATACATTCTTTGCACATCTTAAAAATTTAACTAAATGCCTTAAAAAATAGTTGTTTCATATACCAAGTTAGAAAATATAGTAATTTGTAGGTGCAACCATTTTTGAATTCCTGCTAGAGTAAATGTGAATCACAGTTCAGCCAGACTCTGAATCGAAAATTGAAAGATCAGTTTGCAAACACAAAACTTATATAAAACCTGAAAGATATCTAGTTTTTATACCAATGTTAGATTGTCATTGAAACTTAAAAAGATGGTTGCTTGCTGTGTAAAGCAAACTTGCCAGATCCTGTGAATTGTGCCTATAGACTATGTATTTGTATACCTCTTCATGGAGAGAAAATTCCAGTGCAAGGGAAATTCCCTTCTGACTTTTTGCCCTTCTTCATTCCCCCTCCTTTCTGGGAAAGAGCAGCCATGTTGGAATTGCTCCACTGGGAAGCAGCTGCTTCTGTGGTCTGGCTCCTTGTCCTACCTTCAAGCTTCCCAGGGCTGTGAAACAGAAGATAGAGCATGTGTGCTCTTGCTATGTCTCCCCATCGACTTAACAACAGGCAGCAAAGATAGATCAGTGATCTTGGTGATGGCATTGTGTTAGGCATCTTTTGGGGTACAGTAGATAAAATTGGAATGAAGCACTCTGTTGATGTTTGTAACAGTGAGATACACTCAGGAGAGCCTGCTTCAGGTTTCACATTATTTATTAAAGTAGGGCTTCTGAAGTATTAGATTTCTAGGGGGAGGACTACATTTTACATGTGAAAAATTTTAGGAATAGGGTGAAGGGGTCACATTTTACAATGATCCTTTTACTAGAAATTGGAAACATCAGGTAGAAATGCAGAATCTTCTTTGCGGCAAAGCTGAGGCTGTTCACTGAAAAAAAAAAAAGAGAAAAAAACCTGTGATAGCTGGGCACAATGCTTGTGCTGCCTGCTGCTGAGCACTGAATATTGCTGGTTTTAAGATAAAATTGAGATGTTGAGAGGTGAATTGGGGCTGGTGACTGAGCCAGGAATAACTCCAATCTCCAGAATAAGTCTTTAATCCCTTAAACCCTTGTTCTGCTTGGTTTTGGTTCCCTGTAAGCGTGTGATTTATATGTAAACCTATGCCAGGGTGAGCTCTGGATAGACTTCTGCAGGACCATGTCGGTTACACAATTCTTCCTTCAGTTTCTTACCTGGAAAGTCATTCTACTTTTGGCTGTATTTCAGGGGTACACTAGTGAAACCAGTCAAGTCTCACACGTCATGTAAAATATCCACTAATTTCGTATCTGTTTTGAATTATTCCATTTCAAACAACCTCATTCCCAGAACAGTGTTGTGTTTCTTTTCTACTTTGGAGTCATAGGTGGACAAACCTGCTGTCTCTCCCCAGCTGTTTGCATCTTGTGCCAGGTCCAGGAGCTGGAGAAAGGCCATGGGCACTGCACAGGAGCTAGGGAGGATGTTCCCCGAGTGTGGCCTTGAACACCAGCTGCCAGGTACCGGTGTGTGCTGGTGCTGCATTGCAGTGGATGGCTGGGAAGGGAGGATGTCTGTCACATGACTCAGTGAAATCTCCTTGACTGGACAAGGAAAAGGTTGAAAGAACTGCAGGATACACTGGGTGTATTCAGGTCTGCTCCACAGCTATATTTTGGCAGGACCTTTGGAAGACTGTTGCATTCAACATTTCTGTAGCTGGAAGGAGGCCCCTCTGTATTGGGCTTATATTACATAAAGATGGTAAACAGACCAGGGAGGCAGGAATGTTCAGCAATATTCCTTCTGGTCCTTGCCTCTTCCCTTTTCTTTCTCTCCAACTCCTTCTAAAAGTCCTCGTTTATTTCTAGGCAACTCGGTCAAGGAAATTAGTCTGGATTAGTCTGAAAGAGATCAAAGCTATGGGTCTAGTTCTTACAGTGCATGTGTTGCAGTGAGTATTGGCTGGGTAAGACTTACTGTCCATCACTTCTGCTTCCCATTTGCAGTGTGAGCAGAGATGAGCCAGGAGGATGTAGTGTGGCTGCTGCACTGCAGGCAGAGTTTATTTCCTCATGTCAGGAAGCTCAAATTTATCAGTTAGGGAAATGCAGCTGTGTGTTGGCTTACAGGAATAAATAGTGGATCTGCAGCTGAGCTCTTTGTACACGGAAGGCACTAGCATTCTTGGGGAAGAAAGGTACAGGTTAGAAATGCAGAAAGTCAAATAGATAGTTGAAAAGATGCAGGAATCCTCTGCCGGCAGCTAAGGTGCAGGATCTGAAATGAGAGGTCCATGTAGATACTGTTGATAAACTGTATGGGATAGTTTTATTCCCCAGGAAAAGACAGGGAGACATCTGGAGATTGGAATTGAGGGGCTTGGGGCAAAAGAGGGTGCAGGAAATCCATGTATGCATGAAAGGTAGGGATGTGGACAAGGAAGATTCAAACTATTAGAGAAACAGGGAGCCTGTTTCAGAACATTTGAGGACCAAATGTTAAATGGCAGTTGCATCTGTGTGTGGAGTCTTTTGTAATCTATATGCTAGGTTTGCAGTGTGACATTTCTCTGCTTGGAGGGGAAAGAGGAGGCAGTCAACAATTGCTTGCACACTTGCCTACTATGCATTAATATAAAGTCAGTCACAGTTTATCTCTAAGATGAGACTTCTCATGTCTGAGGTCTAAGGTTTAGTTATCGGAAAAATAGATGTCTTCCACATGAAATTTTGCGATAGAAAACATCCAGCCTTTCAAAATAAATTATTACTTTCTTGTGCAAATGAAAATTGTGTAGCGGTCTCCACTGTCCTGAGGTTTAACAGGTGGTGTATACAGCAACACTTT